GAATTCCTAAGTGATGATATATTTTAATTCATGTTCTGTTTAATCATAGCACATAGTACAAAACAAAACAACCCAAAAGATCTTTCTGAATTATATTTGCTTATACTGATAAAGGAAAATTTAAGAAAATCAAATACAGGTTTCAATTAGAACCAAGTAGAGATATACTGCCTTTCTCTATTAACACCTTCATATTTAGAATCAATGTCATTGCGTAACATAAAGACCACTGAGGAAGCATTTGCTGGCATTTGTTAAGACCATTAGCTCAGGCTTAATCTGACAAAAATAAGAAACCCCTAAATAGAAATGGAATCTACTGTCTTGGTCTCTTTTCCAAACTCCTAGCTATGGAGTTGGCATAGCCTAAATTATTTTACATGTGCCTTTGGAAGGATTATTGTCTAGATGAAGGAAGATGAGTGTTAAATTAATACACACTCCCTGTTATTTAAAGGCCCCACCTGGTTCTTCTAAAGTTCCTTGTGAATAGATACATTCCTATAAATAGGAAGCAACATAGTTTTACTGTACTTTTCTGTGCATGTTTATGTTTCTTTTTCTAGAAAGTCTGTTTTCGGAAGCTTTCAGTACTTTAACAACTACAACACATCCTGTTGTCCTAAAGTCCTGCATATAATAGATAAGCAATTTCTATGATTTTATTTTATGGAAATGAAAGTGCTACAGTAAGGGAAAAATATTCTTAAGATAAAGCAGCAAATTATAAAAGGCATTTTAAAACAAACTACAGGCATATCTTGGAGATATTTCAGGTTCAGTTCCAGGCCACTGAAATAAAGCAAATATCACAATGAAGTGAGTCTCACACATTTTTTTGTTTCCCAGTGTGTATTGAAGTCATGTTTACACTATACTGTTCTATTGTCTATTAAGTGTGCAGTAACATTATGTCTAAAAAAATCAATGCAAATGCCTTAATTTTAAAAAACTTTATTGCTGAAAAATACTAATCATCTGAACCTTTAGCGAGTCATAGGTGGAGGGTCTTGCCTCGAAGTTGATGGATGCTGACTGATCAGGGTGGTGGTTGCTGAAGGTCGGAGTGGGCCATTTCTTAATATAAGACAACAGTGAAGTTTGCCACAATGATTAAGTCTTCCTTTCATAAAAGATTTCTCCATAGCATGCAATGCTGTTTGATAGTTATTTTACCCACAGTAGAACTTCTTTCAAAGTTAGTCAACCCTCCCAAGCCCTGCCACTCTGCTTTATCAACTGAGTTTATGTATTATTCAAATCCCCTGCTGTCATTTCAACAGTGATCACAGCGTCTTCACAAGGAGTAGATTCCATCTTAAGAAACCACTTTCTTTGCTCATCCATAAGAAGCAATTCCTCATCTGTTAAAGTTTTATCATGAGATTGCAGCAATTCAATCACATCTTCAGGCTCTACTTCTAATTCTAGTTCTCTTGCTATTTCCACCACACCTGGCAGTTGCTTCTTCCACTGAATTCTTAAACCCCTCAAAGCCATCCATGAGAGTTGGAATCAGTTTCTTCCAAACTCCTGTTAATATTGATATTTTGACCTCCTCTCATGGATCATGAATGTTCTTAATGGCATCTAGAATGGTGAATCCTTTCCAGAAGATTTTTAATTTATTTTGCCCAGATGCATGAGAGTAATCAGTATTTATGGCAGCTGTAGCCTTACAAAATGTATTTCTTAAATAATAATGACTTGAAAGTCTGGATTACTCCTGGATCCATGGGCTACAGAGTGGATGTTATGTTAGCAGGCGTAAAGACAACATTACTCTTCTTGTACATCTCCATCAGAGCTCTCGGGTGACCAGGTGCATTGTCAATGAGCAGTAATATTTTGAAAGGAATATTTTTCTGAGTATAGGTCTCAACACTGGGTTTACAATATTCAGTTAACCATGGTGTAAACAGATGGGCTGTCATCTAAACTTTCTTGTTCCACTTACAGAGCCCAGACAGAGTAGGTTTAGCATAATTTTTTTTCTTTTTTGAGACAGAGTCTCACTCTGTTGCCCTGGCTAGATAGCAGTGGCATCATCGTAGCTCACAGCAACCTCAAAATCCTGGGCATGAGCCACCACGCCTGGCTAATTTAGCATAATTATTAAGGGCCCTAGGATTTTCAGAATGGTAAACAAGTGTTGGCTTCAACTTAAAGTCACCAGGTGCATTAGCCCCTAATAAGAGAGTCAGCCTGTCCTTTGAAACTTTCTCCCCTCTAGCTATGAAAGTCCTAGGTGACTTCTTTTTCCAATAAAAGCCTGTTTCAGGGCTGGGCATGGTGGCTCACACCTGTAATCCTAGCTCTCTGGGAGGCTGAGGTGGGCGGATTGCTCGAGGTCAGGAGTTCGAAACCAACCTGAACAAGAGCGAGACTCTGTCTCTACTATAAATAGAAAGAAATTAATTAGCCAACTAAAATATATATATATAAAAAAAAATTAGCCAGGCATGGTGGTGCATGCCTGTAGTCCCAGCTACTCGGGAGGCTGAGGCAGCAGGATTGCTTGAGCCCAGGAGTTTGAGGTTGCTGTGAGCTAGGATGACGCCATGGCACTCACTCTAGCCTGGGCAACAAAGTGAGACTCTGTCTAAAAAAAAAAAAAAAAGGCTGTTTCATCTACGTTGAAAATGTGTTGTGTAGCCAACTTCATCTGTGATCTTAGCTAGATCTGGACAATTTGCTGCAGCTTCTACATTGGCATTTGCTGCTTCACTTTGCCTTTTCTGTTGTGGAGATCACTTCATTCCTTAAATCTCATGAACCAACCTCTGCTAGCTTCAGATTTTTTTCCTGCGGCTTTCTCACCTCTCTCAGCTTTTATAGAATAAAAGAGAGATAGGGCCTTGCTCTGGATTAGTTTTTGTCTCTGGTTGGATCTTCTACCTAACCATTCATACTTTCTCTTTATCAGCAATACGGCTGTTTTGCCTTTTTTTTTTTTTTTTAAGACAAAGTCTCACTGTGTGGCTGGGCTAGAGTACAGTGGCATCAGCCTAGCTCACAGCAACCTCAAACTCCTGGGCTCAAGCATTCTCCTGCCTTAACCTAGGAGTAGCTGAGATTACAGGCACATGCCACCACGTCAGGCTAATTTTTTTATTTTTAGTTGTTAGGCTGCCACCACACCCAGCTAATTTTTTCTATTTTTAGTTGTCTGGCTAATTTCTTTTTATTTTTAGTAGAGATGGGGTCTCACTCTTGCTCAGGCTAGTCTCCAACTCCTCAGCTTAAGCCATCCTCCCTCCTCAGCCTCCCTGTGTGCTAGGATTATAGGCGTGAGCCACCACACCCAGCCCTGTTTTGCTTTCTTATCTTTCTTGTGTTTACTTGAGTAGCATTTTTTATTTCATTCAAGAACTTTTCCTTTGCATTCTCAGCTTGCCTGTTTGGCACAAGAAGGGAGCTTTTGGCCTCTATCTTGGCTTTGGACTTGCCTTCTTCACTAAGCTTAATCATTTCTATTTTTTTATTTAAAGTGACAGACATTACTCTTTCTTTCACTTGAACACTTAGAGGGCATTGTAGGATTTTCAACTGGCCTAATTTCAGTTCTGTTGTACCTCAGGGAATAGGGAGTACCAGGGAGGGGGGAATGGAGGAACAATTGGTTAGTGAAGCAGTCAGAACACATACAACATTAAGTTTGCTGAATTACATGGGTGAAGTTCATGGCACCCCAAAACAATTACAATATTAACATCAAAGATCACAGATCACCATAACATAAAATAATAATGAAAAAGTTTGAAATATTTCAAGAGTTACCAATATGTGACACAGAGTCACAAAGTAAGCATGAGCTATTAAAAATGGCACCAGTAGACTTGTTCAATGCAAGGTTGCCCTAAGGACTACTTACCAATTCACTCTACAGATTCCTTCTTAAGCAAGCCTGGACTTAAAATCAGAATACTTGATTTTGAATCTATCTACCCTGTCACTTGGTTTTTAAACAATAAATGTCTGACCAAGCATAGTAGTTCACTCCAGCAATCCCAGCACTGTGGGAGGCAAAGATGGGAGGATCACCTGAGGCCAGGAGTTCAAGACAAGCCTGTGGAACATAGCAAGACCCTGTCTCTACAAAAAAAAAAAAAAAATTAGCTGGATATGATGGTGTGCACCTGTACTCCCAGCTACTGGGAGGCCGAGGTAGGAGGGGGTTTGAGCCAAGGAGTTTGAGGTTATGATGAGCTCATTTGAATCATAATGAAAAGTCAATTACAGTTACTATGCATGTAAGGTTGATATTATTTTATACATTACTTTAAATTGTACCTGGTCATGCACTTGCAAACTCTATAGCCGCATGACTGCTAAATGGAATATTGATCTTGAACTAGATTCTATACTGGAGAGGGAAATGCTATAAAGGGCATGATTGAGTCAACTGAAAAAATTAGAATGGTTCATTAAAGTATTACATTCATCTTTAGTAGGGATAAAGGGGCCTGTGTATGTAAGTTAATGTTAAATGGTTTGGAAAAAAATTATGTGTATATCTGTTGTGTGTATATATAGAGAGTTCTTAAATCATGAACAAAAATGGGGTAGGCTGGGTGCAGTGGCTCACACCTGTAATCCTAGACTTTGTGAGGCAGAGGTGGGAGGATCACTTGAGGCCAAGTGTTTGAGACCAGCCTAAGCAATATAGTAAGACCCCTTCTCTGCAAAAAGGAAAGAAAGAATATAGGGTAAAACATTAACAGTAGGTAAATCCAGGTTCTTTGTGTGTTCTCTGTGTTGTACTATTCTTTTCTTTTGCAACTTATCTGTAAGCTTGAAATTATTTTCAAATAAAAGACTTAAAAGATAAAATAAAATTAAAAGGCCTATATATTAGGAGAGAATTTAAAAAAATGAAATAAAAACAAAAACTACTCTGTAGCCCCAATGTGCCAACTTAGGTGCTGATGTTAGCTCACAGACAATAACATAAGCACATTATTAATTTTTATCTCCATTTGCAACAGATTTGACTACTAAATGGAAATTATGAAGTAGAAGTATATTAAATGTTATTAAATATATTAGTGAATGGTTTTTAGAGATTGTATCTGCATTAGAATATCTGATCATAATGCTGTATAAAAACATAGTGCCAAGTCTACGGCCTTACTTTGGGCAAGTACCATGGCATCCTACGAGCAGGTCCAAAAGGGACCCCTGAAGCTGAAAGGCGTCGCAGAGCTCGGCGTGACCAAGTGGAGGAAGAAAAAGAAGGACAAAGACAAGGCGAAACTCCTGGAAGCGATGGGGACGAGCAAAAAGAACGAAGAGGAGAAGTGGCGCGGCCTGGACAAGCGGACTCCGGCCCATGTGGCTTTCAAGAAGATTCAGGAGAAGCGGCAAATGAAAAGAATCCTGAAGAAAGTATCCAAAACCCACAAGCAGAGAGTGGAGGACTTCAACAGACACCTGAATACACTCACAGAGCATTTGGACAGCCCCAAAGTCAGCTGGACGAAGTAGCCTCCGGGCCCTGGGTACAGAGCAGCATCGAGGCTAAGCAGAAGGCCAGGTCAGGGTTGTGTTTGGTACCACTGGTATTTTTTAGAAACATTGCTTTACACACAGCCTCGCATCTTCTGTGACAGTGCTTTTTTGAAGCTGTGTAACCCCATCCTGGAACTTGATTAAAGACAGACTGTCCTTTTACCAGGTGAGGTTTCTTGGTAGCGCACAGAAGATACACCTTTTTGGTTTGGATGGAAAGTTTTGAAGGTTCATGTGGAGGCAAAGGCCATTTGTGCCCTGTAAAAATGATTTCACCCCCGAGTCACAGCCAATCCTCTGAGGCCAGCCGTCTGTCTTCACCTGGATGAGACGACTCCAGAGGATAAGGAGCTAATGCAAGCTTGGTCTGCAGTGTACAGCCTCTCGTGGGACCCTGCGTGGGCTGCCCTTCCAAGCTCCCTCTAGCTTGGGGCTCGTGCTGTTCTCCCCAGGCCCCAGGAGGCCACTGGAAGCTTCGTGGCCTTCACACTGCCTCCTCAGCCACCTGGCCAGTGAGACAACACAGCCTGGGTGGCAGAACCACGACCTGAGACAAGGACAGGGTATTGCCGTGGCAGGCATTGCTAATTGATCACAGCACTCTGTAATGGAACCCAGACACGGCCTGCCTCACAAACCTCAACCCAGGCTCCGAGCAGCCTCTCCTGTTTACTCAGAATGGGCACGTCACATGGAGCCAAGTGTTGAGCTTGGGGCTGTCCTTTGTAAACTGGAATAAAGCAAAAACCAGTTATTAAAAAAAAAACCAAAAAAACCATAGTACCTTCTCTCAGGGGTTTTATATTTCTGTCAGCCATGGCCTTTGTCAGTACCCATAGCCTTTCCTGTCCAAAAAGAGTGTCTGATTCCAAGTTAACAAACACTTTCTGGCATGATGTCTTTGTCAGCTTGGGCTGCTCTAACAGAATATCTTAGACTGAGTATTTAATGAAAGTAAATTATTGGAGGCTGGAAGTTCAAGGTCAAGGCACCTGCAGATTTCAGTGACTTGATGAGGGCCCATATCCTGGTTCACAGATTGCACCTTCTGACTGAGTTCTCACATGGCAGAAGAGACAAAGGAGGCCCCTCTCTGGGGGCCTCTTTTATAAAGGCACAAATCCCGTTCATGAGGGCCCCACTTTTATGATCTAATCACCAAAGGCCCTACCTCCCAATACCATCACCTTGGAGGGTTAGGATTTCAATATATGAATTTGGGATTGGCGGGGGACAGAAACATTCAGCCCATAGTGCATAGTAATGGGAGGAACTATAGCAGATTTGGCCATGACTTTGTTCTTATACAATCTCTGCTGTGACTTTGGATGAGGCACTTAACATTTTGGAACTCATCAACCACACTGTCTGCATTACAGAATTATTGGGGGACTTACATGAAAATGTTCTGGAAAATTAAAATGTGTTATATAATGTTGTTATTGAAAAATTAGGAATAACAGTGAGCCCAAATGGTTTTGCTTATACTGTTCAAAGGATAATTGATAGTTGGCATTATTTTTATAATACGTAGTTCCTGGATTGTCAGCATGTATTATCATTGCATGCTAAACATCATAAGTAAATATCTATTACATTATCCTCTCCATGAAGGAAAGTGTCTATGAGCTATTAGTATCATAGTTTATATATCAGTTATGTGACTTTTTACAGTTAAAAGGGATAAAAAGGCACCGGGACCCTTGATATGTCTATTGGTCACCTTTGCTTCAGTCGTAAATTATGCTGCAACCACAAAGCATTATTTTTCACTTCCATCATCTTCTGGCTGCAGTTGGCAGTGGTGCTCTTCCTGTTCCATGTGTCTTCTTCATCCCAGGACCCAGGCTGACGAGCAGCCCCCATCTGGGAAGTGTCATACTCCTGGCAGAGAGAAGAGCCAAAGCAGGATCCTAGGGTAGCTCTTAAAGCTTCTGTTCAGATATGGCCTGTGTTGTGTCTGCTCATGTTTCATTGGCCAGAGAAAGTCACATGTCCAAGAAGCAGTGGCAGCCTCTGAATATACTATCCTACCTGGTGGGAACTGCAAGTCACATGGCAAGGGCAGGGCTGTATGATTCTGTACAGGAAAGGTAGAAAATAATTAGGTACAAGAGTACAATCTGCTGGCCTATGATTATTTTAATATTCATTTAAAGGTATATATCGTTAATTTCAATTAAAATAAGCAACAATTTAGAGGAAAGCATTTACTATCAAATGAGAGCTTAATGACTTCCAGGGTCCTCACAGCTTTAATATTCTGCAATTTGTATTTAGAATACCTGGAAGATGATACCATCTCATGTAATTAATTGGGGCTCCTTTGCTAAAAGTTTCTTGGGGTTTTTTTTTGTACAAAGAAGTAAACAGGGATTTCTCTCAACAGCTTCCGTTTTGGTGTGCTGTATTAACAGTGTAAAAGAGCTGCCCTTCTGAGGAAGAAGGCCAGAGTAGCCCAACCACGGACACCACCAAGTTGGAGGACTTGGGGAGTATTGAGAGACAGGGTCACAGGGGGACATTGACACATAAAAGTGGCTCCCAATGTTAGAAGCCACTTGAGGTCCAAGTGGGTCCTTGGCTTTGGACAAAAAAGAATTTAGGAGTGAGCTGACAGTATAACATAAAAACGAATTTTGTTTAGAAAATATAGAAAATCTACAGACAGAGAAGAGGCTAGTTCTCCCTGCAGAAGAGAACTGGCTCCATGGTTCCTTTTCCCTCTCTGTTTAAGGAACAGCTTAATTACAGGCTAACTAAGGAAAGGGATATTCATGTTATTTCTCAGAAAAGGGAATTAGGATTTTCCTGGAATGAGAGTGACACCTCCTTATGACTAAATATAGTCAACCAAGAAGTGTCATGGTGTCAGATGCATGATGGGAGTGGGAGGTTTCCTTAGAAACTTTTATGGTAATGAGATATACGATGAAGCTGCAAGGTCAAGGGCTGCAAGGTCAATTTCTCCACCATCCTGTTTCTATCCAGTTGGAACTTGTCCTGCCTCCATGTTGTTTTGATCAGGGTAGTTTGAAAACTTTGTTTTGAGACATCCTGACTCAGTCAAACAATGTCTGCACAATTAAGCAATGCCCAGGCAATGCCCAAAGCAATGCCTAAATCAGTGCCAGCAGCAGTGCCAGCAGCAGTGCCTGCCAGTTCCCCGGCTCAACATGGGTCAGTCATTTACCTGGCCTTTGCTGTCTTAGTGCCTCTCACAGGTGTGTCACTGGGGCAAAAAGTAAATGTGATAATGAAGAATTGGTAAGAAATTTTATAATTTTAAAATTTAAAATTTTGCAATTTTACTAAACTTTGAGTTTGTGTTTTTGCCCCCCTTTCAGTTGTAAGAGAATGTGTATCTGTGGGTGTCTTTTTTAATGTAATAATTGCAAAATTTTGTGTGTTTGTGTTCAAAGTGTTTAGAAAATATATAATTATCGACACAGATTTTGAGCTGGAATGTCCTTGTTTTACAGTTATGTTAATTGCAGTCCAGTAGGTTGAGAGCTTTGCCCATGATGGGTGGTTGTAGACACTGGTTTGAGATTCAAGCCTCTGTCTCCATTCTCCTAATCCAGGTTTTCTAGACTTCAGTGAGATGCACCTTTCCAAAATTTTAGTTATGTCTCTTGAACTCCATCTAAAGTAGTCACATAGATTCCCAAATAAGCATATATATGTAAAGATACTTTTGCAGCTTTTATTTCTTTGTATAAATCTAGTGTGACACTAATTCCTAATTAGTACTTAAATTTTTCTTAGCTTAATGTAAGATAAAGTAACATATTATTTAAATAGAATATGAAATTTTTTTAAAGTGCTAGTCTCTTCATATAAAACAAAAGCTTGCTTTATATTTAACTTACCTAATTGGGGTACTTGTATTCTACAAGGAATTTACAAACAGTACAGTTTTAAATTTAATATGCTAAATTAAATATGATACAAAAATTGATTCAAAGAATGTATACAGCAAAGATGTCTATTTTCCAAGTATTATTTGGAATAATATAGGTTATATTCAATAAAAAGGAATCATATAAGTCATTAGGCCAATTTTGAACATTCATAGGATAAATAGCACAGTACCATGTAAATGAAGCATTTACCAAATGGGTATTATCAATCTATTATATGTGAACTTCATTTCACATAGCACAAATGATTTACTGACAAATATAATACGTAACACAGTCATATTTATTATAATTTTCCCCCATGCTTTAGGTTGCCAGTAAAATTTTTGTAAGAGACTCTTTAATGGAAATTCATTTTATTTTTGTTTTCTTTTTTATAGGGTGTTCATAAGAATGGAAGCAGTGTTTCCTTGCCAGATTCCTTATTGCTTTATCTCATGAACCTACATAATCTTGGGGAAAAGCCTGTATTTCATGATGATGAACCTGTCACCAGTATAGCAACAACAGTGTGAAGACAAAAACAAAAGAAAATACACAAGTGTTCAAATTTATATTCAACAAGGAAGTCATTTTAATCAACAATTTCTGCTGCCTTAGTTTTCCAAGATGAATCGGTACACAACCATGAGGCAGCTGGGGGACGGCACCTATGGGAGTGTGCTTATGGGCAAGAACAACGAATCCGGGGAGCTGGTGGCCATCAAAAGGTACCGTGTGAGCACTGCAAAGTTCACCTTTGAAAATGCTGATCTTGTTTTCCTTTGCTTGCTTAAGAGTATGTACAAGCACAGAGAGAGGTCTAGTTTAGGCCTCATAATAGTTTGGCTAATGAGGAATGGCATTCTGGGAAAAAAAAAACATTGCTAGAAAGGAATTCAGCTGATTCCCATGTATATTACTTTAATTTTCTAGCTTGTCCAGCTGCATTGATAAAGCAGAAGATGTAAGTGCTGAAACTTTTATGCATAGTACATTTAGACTGAAACTAAAGGTAATCTTTGGAATGTTTTTCAGATTTTAAGTGGAGTACAAAGTAGACCTTATTATTTCTTCAATACAATAGGCCTCAAAATCATATGGTATTCATAATGTCAAATGAGTTCTGAATGCCATATGGTATTTTCCAGAGCTTACCAATTAAATAGAATTAATTATTGTTAATTTAATTATTTCTTTTAACACACTGTGTTTATCTTTTGCTGCATAACAAAATACCCCAAAGCTTAGTGATTTAAAATAAGAGCAAACATTTATTAATTCACACAGTTTCTGTGGGTCAGGAACTCTGGAATGCTTAGCTGGTGGCTCTGGCCTGGGACCTCTCTCCAGGTGCATTCATCTGAACACTTGGCTGGAGCTGGGGGATCCACTTTCAAGGTGGCTCAGTCTACTCATTTGCTAGGGCTGCCATAACAGAGTACCACAGATGGTGGCTTAAACAGCAGACGTTTATTTCCTCATGATTCTAGAGGCAGGAAGTCTGAGATCAAGGTGTTGGCAGGGTTGGTTTGGTCTAAGACAGCTCTCCTTGGCTTGTAGGTGGCCGCCTCGTCTCTCTGTCTTCACGTGATCTTCCCTCTGTGCGTGTCTATATCCAAATTTCCTTTAATAAGAATATCAAGCCAACCTCCTGCTGCAGCCTGCAAGTAGCACTAACCACACTTGGCTAATATTATTATTTTTTTGTAGAAACAGGGTCTTGCTATGTTTCCGATACTGGTCTCAAACTCCTGGCCTGAAATGATCCTCCCACCTCGGCCTCCTAAAGAGCTAGGATTGCAGGTGTAAGTTACCATGACCCCAGCCTGCATGTTCTAACTTAAGCAAGGATAGAGCAAAAATGAATGACTAAGAAGAGGAGGAGTCCCATAGAAGACTTGAAGAAAATTTAAATATTCATTCAGCACAAAATTGTTAAACTCCTACTGTATTTAGTGTTTGGAACAAAATGGAGATGAGATAGATGCACTACAATATATTGAAGAAGACCAACAAATTAGACAAGTTACAACATAAAGTATGCTTAGTTCTGTGGTAGGGGGGACTATTGGGTTCTGTGGGAACACAGAGTTAGGAAAGGTCTGGATTCCTTGGAGAAGTGTCATGAAAGGCTTCCCAAGAGAGTGAGACCTCAAGAGGAGACAAAATTATTAAAAAAAAAAAAAAAAAAAAAGATAGGAGAAAACACACCAGGTGGTAAGAATAGTATGTGTGAAGGCCTGGAGGCAAGGGAGAGCATGTGAAGGCTTGATTGGGCTGAGTAAGGGAAGTATAAGGGGCTGGCATAGATAATGAGTAGGGCAGAGAAGATGTGAGGCTAAAGGGCTGAAGTCATGAAGCCCAGTTGAGGAGTTTGTATATCTTGAGGACTGGAAGTCATGAAGGATTTTAAGCAGAAGATGTGATCAAATTTTTAGGACTATCTCATTAGCAAAATAGTGGAAACTACCTAACAGGTACAGTGAACACTGTTTGGGTTATGGGCACACTAATACATTATATAAAAGCTATCCATTTAACAAAAATATTTTTACCCTCCTAATATTTTGAAATGAAAAAAGTTTTTTTTGTTTTTGTTTTTTTTGGTTTTACATTTTTCTACTTTTTATCTTTTTTTATTTTTATTTTATTTTATTTTTTTTATTTCGGCATATTATGGGGGTACAGATTTTAAGGTTTCAATAAATGCCCATTTCCCGCCCCCCAAAAGTCTGAGTCTCCATCATGACCATCCCCCAGATGGTGCACATCTCACTATTTATGTATGTATATACCCGCCCCCCTCCCCCCTCCCATCTGCCCAATACCCTATTACTGTAGTACCTATGCGTCCACTCAGGTGCTACTCAGTTAATACCAGTTTGCTGGAGAATATATCTGGTGCTTGTTTTTCCATTCTTGGGATACTTCACTTAGTAGTATGGGTTCTATGGTCCAGCTCTAACCAGGAAATATAATAAGATGTGCTATATCACCATTGTTTCTTAGAGCTGAATAGTACTCCATGGTAATACATATACCCATTTTATTAATCATTCTTGGATTGATGGCACTTGGGCTGTTTCCACAGCCTTGCAATTATGAATTATGCTGCTATAAACATTCGAGTGCAGGTGTCTTTTTTGTAGAGTGTCATTGGATCATTTGGGTAGATGCCCAGTAGTGGAATTGCTGGATCAAATGGTAGATCTACTTGTATCGCTTTGAGGTATCGCCATATTGCTTTCCACAGAGGTTGAACTAGTTTGCAGTCCCACCAGCAGTGTAGGAGTGTTCCTCTCTCTCCGCAACCACGCCAGCATTTATTGTTTGGAGATTTTTTGATAAAGGCCATTCTCACTGGGTTAAGTGATATCTCATTGTGGCTTTGCTTTGCATTTCCTTGATGATTAGAGATGTTGAGCATTTTTTCATATGTTTGTTGGCCATTCTTCTGTCTTCTTTAGAAAAGGTTCTGTTCAAATCCTTTGCCCACTTTTTAATGGGGCTATTTGATTTTTTCTTCCTGATTTTCGTGAGTTCTAAGTATATTCTAGTTATCAGTCCTTATCGGATGATAGGATGCAAAAATTTTCTCCCATTCTGTAGGTTGTCTGTTTACTTTGATGACTATTTCTTTGGCTGTGCAGAAGCTTTGATAGTTGATCGATGTTCCATTTAAATTC